GTTTTAGCGGTTGAAAAACTTCACTTGCAAACAGGCTTTGATTACCAAGTGTGAGGATCTATGATCGAGCTTAGAAAAGTGGGTTTGAATTGAATGTTCCACTAGGGTACAAGAGGAGGCTATATATAGGCTCGACACAAGGCCAGTTACCCAAGTGTTACGCGAATGTTCCGAGGGTCGCGAAGCGTCCCGAACAGAACCTTTCCAAACTTTGTAGAAATCAATTCGGTGGAAACCGAATAGGCTTGAGTTCGGTGCACGTAACTTGGTTCGATGCTATAACTGTAATATAATATAGGAATGCACCTAAGCTAGGAAATCAAGCATAAATATGCATGATAAAATAAACCCAAGCTAGTAATAGCATAACAAAGTCCAGGCAAGCTAGCAAAGCCAGCATAAGCCATCATACTCTCACACCCCCGCTGCCTAGAGCTGCATAGGCACGGTGTGGATATCTTTGCTCTGTACTATGACGCTATCCTTACTGCCATGTATCCTTTCGCGACAGCACCACAGTCACACCACTGCACTGGTTGCAGTCTCTCTGGCTGACCCCTCTGGGGGCCTGGTTCTTGCACGTTCCTTCACTGTTCTCCCGTGTCCGGCTATTCCGTCTGGCTCACTGTCAAGTCTTCACCTCCCCTCGTTTTCTACAAACTTGGTGAGTAACGCCATCCTTCAGGATGCTTGGGTTGACACCTTTACCCTTGGAGGACAGCGTGTGGTGATCTGCACATGTGCGCGGACGGGCCTGTCACCTGGCCACGTTCACCCGTCGACCTGGGTCGAGCCTGTACACACTAACTACTGAGCCTCTTCAGGTAGCTACATCTGTGTCCGCGTCAGGTCAGCTAGCAGCCCCCTGTTCGTGTCACCTCCTGTCGCACCAGACTCTCCTTTGGCACCACCGCCTTGGTCACCCCTCCCTACCACGCCTCCGTGGCATGCACTCCCACCTCCTTGTCTCTGGTCTTCCCACATCTCTGCCTCCCCTCCCACCCTCGCCTGCCACTCCCTGCCTTCCCTGTGTCGAGGGGCAGCACCGCGCCGCTCCTCACTCCTCCTTGTTTCCCCCGACGACTGCTTCCCTGCAGACTCTCCACATGGACGTGTGGGGCCCAGCCAGCGTCCAGGGACAGGGCCGCGAGCGATACTTTCTACTGGTTGTTGATGACTAATCGCGTTACACCACGGTCTTCCCCTTGCGTAGCAAGGGGGAGGTCCCTGATGTCTTGATCCCTTGGATCCACGCTGTCCGTCTCCAGCTCCGCGAGCGGTTTGACACAGACCTTCCAGTCCTGCATCTGCACTCTGACAGAGGTGGTGAGTTCTCCTCCGACCTCTTGCGGGACTTTTGTCGTGGGGAGGGCATCCTCCACTCGTTCATGCTTCTGGCCTCTCCGCGGCAGAATGGGGGTTGTGAGCGCCGCATTGGCTTAGTCAGGGAGGTCGCTCGTACCTCCATGATCCATGCGGTTGCTCCCCATTTTCTGTGGCCGTTTGCGGTCTAGTACACTGCGCGCCAGCTCAACCTTTGGCCCCGTGTCTCCTTGCCGGAGACCTCGCCTACAATGCATTGGACGGGGGAGGTTGGCGATGCATCTGCGGAGATAACTACTACAACGGGAGCTAGACTACGGGCTAGGCACGGGTGCTCGTGTGATCTCTGCGTTCGTTGGTCCTTAGTCGTTTTCCTAGTGCTCACACTGCTTGCTAGTTCACGGGGCAATTTGGCAAGAGTTTCACTAGAGAAAGTTGACAATAATGGTCCAAATCAGTTGGTATGGCAAGACTACATCAGAGCCAGCATTCAGGTCGGTCGACTGCAAGCACAGCATGGTCGACCGCGTTCCAGCACGACTTGGTCGACCGCGCTCCAGCAGTGCAAAGTCGACGGCGTGCCAACGCGGCAGGTTGACGGCGTGCCAGCATTGCTCTCGCAGAACAGCAGCGCACATACTTCGCAGGTGCTCGTACATGATTGGTGGGCTAAGCCTCGTCACCTGAACAGCGCAAGCACCAAGTCATCCTCGTGCTGACAGCTCCACCTGATCCGCCACGTCGACCTCGGGATACCACCACCGAGGTCGGACTCGCCAACTTCGCCTGGGCGACCGTCGCACTCCTTCGCAGAACCTCGTCACCCAGGTATCCCGGTCGACTGGGCAACCATGTCGACCAGCTGCTCCTGTATGTGCTCGTCGACCTCCCAAGTCGACGACCACCCCAAGTCGGTGACCTTGCAAGTCGGTGACCTTGCAAGTCGGCGCCGACTTCCGAGTCGACGTGCCACATCGCCGACCACCAAGTCGGCGGCATTGCAGTGGCCCCGTGCAAGTCGACCAACCCCGTTGACCAGCTCGCCCAAGTCGGCGTCGCCCACTGCAACAAGTCGGCTGTACCTCCCGTACACCCAACCACGAAGTCGGCTCCGCCCAAGCGAGGACGGGGCCAACAACAACTCCCGTTGACACTCCCTTGCCGCGTTCACGCTTGGGCTCCCAGCCCACACGGCATCACTGCTCGAAGAATAGCTCGTCGGCGTGCACCCAACACACAGCACGCCGGTCACCGCACCAGCCATGCAAGAGGGCATGGCACCTACTGCTGCACGTCGTTGTCGCCGTCGCCCACGTCGGCCAAGCGCACCTGGCCGATTGCGACGGAGCACCGGTTGAAGGCCGGATAGTGCAGCGCCTTCGTCAGGAAGTCGGCTGGCTGCTCAGCGGTCGGGATGTACTGCAGCAAGAACTTCCCGCGCTTCACCATGTGTTGCAGCCAGGCCTGTCGCCGCTCCATGTGCTTGAGGTTGCCTGTCAACCCCATGCCCTCGGCGACCGTGATGGCCGACTTGTTGTCCACCCTCAGGACAGTCGGCTTCCCGGCATCCAGCTGCCGGAACTCTGCAAGGAGGAAGCGAATTCGGTGTCCTTCCTTGCCGGCTTCGGTGGCTGCCACGTACTCCGACTCAGTCGACGACAACGTCGCGCACTTGATGCGCTGGCTCGATCAGGAGACTGCGGCCCCTCCATAGACGAACACGTAGCCACCCGTGCTCGTCCTGTTCTGCTTGTCACCGGCGTCGTCGGCGTCCACGTAGCCGACCAGCTCCAGCGACTCAGGTCCACCGCCGAACTCCAGGGCGGTGTCACGCGTGTTGGCGAGGTAGGCGAGGCAGCGGTCGACCTCGCGCCAGTGCTGGTCGCTCCTCACCGTGAGGCCGCTCCCCAGCTTGCTGCAGGCGAAGGCGACGTCCAGCCTTGTCGTCGTCGCCGCGAACTGCAGCGAGCCGACCTTCTGCCGGTACTCCTCCTCCTGTCGCTCCTGTGCCTCCTCGTCATCGAACGTGAGCTCGGCGTAGGCATCGACTGAGACCGGCGTCTTCGGGGTGCGCCCGGTCTGCTCCTCGTCGATGAAACGCCTACGCAGCTTGTCGGTGTAGCCCTGCTGGTGCAGCCACAGCTTCCCCGCCGACCTGTCGCGCACGATCTCCAGCCCGAGGTACTTCTGCACATGTGAGATCTCGCGCAGCTCGAAGGCGGCTTCCAGCAGCGCCTTTAGCTCGTCCAACATTGCGGCGCTGCTACTGGCAGCGAGCAGGTCGTCGACGTAGACCAGCACCCAGCAGGCCACTCCGTCGTCGCCGACTTTGAAGTACAGAGCCTCGTCGACCTGGCTCTTCTTCCACCCGGCGCCGACCAGCACATCGTTGAGCGCCAAGTACCACAATAGCGGCGACTGCTTCAGCCCGTACAGGCTCTTCAGCAGCTTGCACACCCGGCCGGTCCCGTCGTTGAAGTAGTCCGGCTGGGACATGTAGAGCACCCTGTCGAGCTTGCTCTGCAAGAAGGCGTTCTTCATGTCGAGTTGCATCAGGTTGAGGTTGAGCACGGCGACGATGCTGAGGAAGATCCTCAGCGTGACGTAGCTGCCCACCGGCGCGAACGTCTCATCGTAGTCGGCGTTGTACACCTGCGTGAAGCCCTTCACGACCAGCCTCGCCTTCTCTCGCTCGACGGTGTCGTCGATGTGGTACTTCGTCGTCAGCACCCACCGGTTTTTCATGATGTTGACCCCCGGCGGGCGTTCGACCAGCTCCCAAGTGCCCATGTTGAGGAGGCTGCGGATCTCCTCCTCCATGGCGGCCTTCAGCACCGGGCCCTTCCAGCTCGCCAAAGCCTCCTTCACCGTCATCGTCGAGATGTCCCAGCGGTGTTCAGGGTCGGCCAGCATGTCCGGGTCGAGCTCCTGAAACTCCTCATCGTCCTCGGCGTCGTCGTACAGCAGGTCGTCGTCATCGTCCACGTCGTACACGGTGGTGAAGGCAGCGGGGACGAAGAAGTCCGGCGGCCTCCGAACTCGATCCGAATTTCGTTGTTCAGTACGGGGCCCAAGCGAGGACGGGGCCAACAAAAACTCCCGACGAGGTTGGCGATGCATCGGTGTTCCGGGTCTGGGGCTGTCGTGCCTTTGTCCGCGATACCTCCGCGGACAAGCTTCCTCCCGCGCCGTTCCCTGCGTCTTCCTTGGCTTTCCCCCTGACGCGCCTGGTTGGCAGTTTTACCCCCCCACCTCGCACCGTGTCCTGCCCCCTCAGGACGTCACGTTCGATGAGTCGGTTCCTTTTTACCATCTCTTCCCCTACCGCACTGCCCCACTCCCCCTCTCGCCGCTCTTCTTCACTCCAAGTCCCCCTCCGGTAGACCGCGTGCCCCCTCAGGGTCCTGCTCCTTCAGGTGTGTCTCAGGTAGACCCACTCCCCTTGGTTGAGCCTGTCGAGGTTACTTGTGACTCTGGTGCTGCTCGGGGTGCTGCATATGGGGGTGCTGAGCCTGCGGTTGCGAAGCCTGAGCGTGTGGGGCCTGGAGGTGCTCAGCCTGCGATTGCGGAGCCCAGGGTTGTCGAGCCTGAGCGTGTGGGGCTTGGGGGTGCTGAGCATGCGGGTTTGGAGCTTGGGGGTGCTGCGTCTCAGCATGCAGAGCCTGGGGGTGCTGAGCATGCGGGTGTGGAGCCTGGGGGTGCTGAGTCTGGGGGTGCTGAGCCTAGGGGTACTGCGTCTACACTATAGGAGCCTCTCTCACCACAGCAACTGCGCAAGTGGTACACTCAGCGCACACACCTTCGGAGTGGCGCTGCTAGAGCTAGAGGCCCTGCAGCTGCTAGTCCTGGAGGTGCTAGAGGTACTACTGGTACTGGAGGTACTGGAGGTGCTGGAGCTACCAGTCCTGGAGGTCCTGCAGGTGCCTCGCCCCAGCGGTCTAGCCAGCGGGAGCCTCTCTCACCACAGCAGCTGCGCGAGTGGTACGCTTAGCGCACCCGCCTCCGGTGTCGCGCTGCTGGAGCTGGAGGCCCTGCCGCTGGAGGTGCTGGCGCTGGAGGCACTGGTGCTGCTGGTGCTGGAGGTGCTGGTGGTGCTGGCACTACTGGTCCCGGGGGTGCTTGTGCTGGAGGTGCTGGAGCTGCCGGAGCTCGTGGTGCTGTGGGCTCTAGAGCTGGAGGCAGTGGAGCTGGAGGTACTGCAGGTGCTGGAGCTGCTGGTCCTGGAGGTGCTCGTACTGGAGGCGCTGGAGCTGCCGGAGCTGGTGGTGCTGCTGGTGCTGGAGGTGCTGGAGGCACTAGAGGTGCTGGAGCTGCTGGTTCTAGAGGTGCTCGTGCTGGGGGTTCTGGAGCTGCCGAAGCTAGTGGTGCTGCTGGTGCTGGAGGTGCTGGGGGTACTGGAGCTGCTGGAGCTGGTGGTGGTGCTGCTGCTGGAGGTGCTGGAGGTGCTGGAGGTGCTGGAGCTGCTGGTCCCGGAGGTGCTCGTACTGGAGGTACTGGAGTTGTTGGAGCTGGTGGTGTTGCAGGTGCTGGAGCTGGAGACCCTGGAGCTGGGGGTGCTGGCGCTGGGGGTGCTGGAGCTGTCAGTACTGGTGCTGGAGGCACTGTGCATCGGCGACTGTTTTTCGTTCCGCCGTTGCCGTCGTCTCTGTCGCCACCTGGCTCGGCACTTTCCCAGGTTCTTAGTCTCCCGTCTTCTACTGGCCGTACTCCTCCCATGCTGTGTCCACCGCCTGACCAGTCGCAGCCACAGTTACAGCCAGACTCCCCACTGCCTGCCCCTTTTCCTTACACTAAGCAGACTGACTCCCTTACAGAGCGTCGTGAGCCTGCGTCTCATCCTGCCTCGCATGTTCGCGCTGTTCGCACTCGTAGGCGTCCTCCTCCTGTCCCCGGCACTCACACTATGGCACTTCATCCTTCCTCTATTCCACTTCGAGTTCCCCTGCCGTCTCCTCCTGCATCCTCTCTTCCTGACTTAGTTCGTGCTGCCAGTCCTACTGTCACCCGTCTCCTAGCCACTGTTGTCACCGACCCTTCGTTTGACTCACTGCTGCCTTTGCCCTTGTTGCTGAGCTTGTCGACTTTGTTGCTAGCTAACGTCTCGACTAAGGGACCCGTAATCGCCTTTACGTAAGGGTGCGGAGTCGTAACCGCACTCTCTTGACTTCAGCACAACTTTCTTACAGGGCAGCCTGCACGAGGAGATCTGGCTGCGCCGCCCACCTGGCTTCACTGGGTCGTTTCCTGCAGGTACCCAATAGAGCGTCCAGCGGCCAGTCTACGGTCTTTGCCAGGCGCCTCATGAGTGGCACGACACACTGAGGACTACACTTGTGGGTCTTGGGTTTGCTCCTTCGACTGCTGACCTGTGGCTGTTTCTGCGCACCGACACTTTGCTGCCGCCGTTCTACATCCTCGTGTACATCGACGACTTGGTTTTTGCCACTGCTGACACTGAGGCTGTGACTCTAGTGAAGTCGGAGCTGCGGAAGAGACACACGTGCACAGACCTGGGTGAGCTGCACAGCTATCTTGGCTTGCAGATCACCCGGGACAGAGCACGGCGCACCATCACCCTGACTCAGTCACACATGGTGCACCAGGTCCTTCAGCACTTCGGCTTCACTTGGTCCTCGCCACAGTCCACTCTTGCTACCGGTCATTCGCTCTCAGCTCCACCTCTGGACGAGTCCGTAGAGCTGAGTGGCCCGTATCCAGAGCTTGTGGGCTGCCTCATATACCTGATGACCTACACTCGACCTGACCTTGCTTACCCTCTCAGCATCCTGGCATGCTACGTTGCGCCCGGGAGACACCGACCAGAGTACTGGGAGGCCGTTAAGAGGGTGTTACGCTACTTGTGCAGTATGTCGGGCATGGGGCTCGTGCTTGGAGGACGGAGTCGAGTTGTTCTCACTAGCCACGCAGACGCGTCTTGGGTTGACAATTTGGCCACGCAGCGGTCGCCACAGGGTTACAGTTTCAGCCTTGGCTCCCGTTCTGTTTCTAAGCGGTCTACCCGCTCGTCTTCTATTCTCCATTCCAATTGTGAAACTGAGATCTACACAGGGGCCATGGCTGCACAGGAGTTACGCTGGCTCACCTACCTGCTGACCGACTTGGGAGAGCGGCCTAGTTCACCTCCAGTTTTGTACGTAGACAACAAGGCTATGATTGCCTTGTGTCAGGAGCACAGACTGGAGCACAGGACAAAGAACATCACTCTGCATTACGTCGTTGCTCGAGAGTTGCAGCAGCGTGGTCAGCTTCGTCTTGCTTACGTGGCCACTCGGGCCAACACTGCTGATATATTCACCAAGGCACTTCAGCCTCGTGATCATCAGAGTTTCTGTACTGTTTTCGGCCTTGTGCCTACTTTTCCTCACTTGCTCACTTCGTGACTTTGCTTATACTGTGATCTATATACTTGTACCTGCATGCTTACACTTGCTAGGTTGTGATCACTGTACTACTTGTTCCTATTTATATAACTCTGCATGTGAACTGGCCTTGTGGCCATTTGCTTGTGCTCAGAGTGTGTGGTGACTTTGTGATCCACGCTGAGCTTGCTTTGCTTTTCTTGACTGGTCTTGTGACCCCTTGTTCTCCCCCACTTTGCCTATGGGGGTGTGTCAAACTGTTATGTTCTGTGTTGTGTAGGCTGTAGTGGGGTAGCCTATATGGGGTACAACCCAATTAGGGTTAGTACTTGTATCACTTTCTTACTCAATGCAATCATTCCTGCTCATTAGATTCTGACACGGTCGGCACGTGACCGACCTGGCACTTGGTGGCCTTGAGGACTTCTGCTAGTAAGAATTCGGTGCAGTGCGAGGATGCCAGGCTGCTCCCCGAGCCTGCTCGTGGGGTCATATGTGAAAGGAGGTGCATGGGTGCAGGGGAAAATGCCTGGGCACGAGTTGAGTGGAGTCGAGTCAGGTCGAGTTCGGCCGGCCTCAGTCGAATCATGTGACGAGTCGAGTCCCATGACTTGGCCCAACATTCTAGGGAATTGATTTGCGGCGTGCCAATCAGTTCACGGGATATTCTACACAGAGCCTCTACGAATCTTTGCAGCTCCAAAACCTGGAAACTGAGATTTAGACCATCTACTGCCTCAACACCTTGTGCCACTTAAGTTCCAGAGTTGTGTGGCCATGCATACAGGCCTGTACGCTGGGGATTGAAGTGAATGCATGCACCAAGCCACGCTGTTAGTGGGGAGTCGATCTCACTCATTTCATGGCAAGAGATTTGAGAGCTCGGTTTCGGCTGCTGGATTTTGTCGAGTCGAGCATGATTAGTCTTGCAGACTTGCATGCAGATGTCTAAGTTCATGCAATGGAGAACTAGCTCCTCACTTATCGCCATGGTTGAAACAAGACAGGGTTTGGTTATTCAGAATGAACTCTTCTGGTTGCTTTGTCTCCCTACCTTGTGGTTTCAGCTTGATTTTGTGTGTGAAGTAAAGCAGAGCTGCACCAAGAAGTAGGAGAATGACCATAGCGGCAACAATAATGCCAATGATGGCGCCCAATGACACTGTACCCGCACCTCCTGCTGAGGAAGAGTTGCAGTGGGGACTGCATGAAGGTTATAACTAGAAGAGTTGTCAAGAGGGCGTTATAACGTGTGAGCAATAAACGTTCAGCCAAGCAGGCAAGTGCGTAAAAAACGATCAGAAGGGTGATGCTCCGCGGTAAGAGAGCATAGATTGATCGTAATTTTGCATGATCGCAATGCGAGAAAACTCTACACCCCTCTTATTGTCCAAAGTAGGTGAGGTGCTTTTTAATAATTCGGGCAAGCATTGTGTCATGCCTTGTCCCATGCCTTGTGCCCATGCATTCTGCCATGCCTTGTGCCATGCATTGCGCCATGCGTTGTGCCATGGCTTGTGCCATGCATTGTGCAACGCCTTGTCCCTTGACTTGTGCCCATGCATTGTGCCATGCGCTGTGTGTGTGTCATGTCTTGTGCCATGCATTGTCCCATGCTCTGTGCCATGCCTTGTGCTCATGCCTTGTGCTCATGCCTTGTGCTCATGCCTTGTGTTCATGCCTTGTGCTCATGCCTTGTGCCATGCCTTGTGCCATGCCTTGTGCCATGCCTTGTGCCATGCATTGACATGCCTTGTCCGTGCATTGCCTTGTCTTTTGCCATGCCTTGCCACGCGTTGCTTGCTGTACTCTGAAATGCCTTCCTCCATGCATCGAGTTTCGACTCTTGAGACCGTACTTTGCTGATGTTTATTTACTTGCCTGCAGATTGGTAGCAAGTCTTGCAGAAGGATTGACATGTGCCACAAAAGGCTGCGTTGGGAGATTGTGTTGTGCCACAGGCGGAGTAGTCAGGTGGGCATACGAGGTTGGTGCCAGAGACGTCACTGCAGTGGAAACGGGAAATGGAAAGGCGGAACTCATGGGCACAACTGCACGTACACTTTTTTGTAAGCTGCGAAAAGCTGCAAGACTCTACTAATCCTGCAAGAGTGCTCTTTATGGCCCACCCATGTCAAGTATATATCACACTGCTTACTTTTTTTTTTACACCTTTGGTACTTGCTGAAGCCTACTCACGGGTTCAGTTCCAGTTAAGTATCTTCTCAAACATACTTAGAAGTTTATTCCAGATTGGTACTTGCTCAAGCATACTCACAAGTTCGGTTCGGTTCTGGCACTTTCTCAAGCCCACTTGCTCAGCCTATTACAAGATCAGTTTGGCTTTGGTACTTGCTCAAGCCTCTTACAAGGTTCGTTCGGGTTTCATACTTGCTCAAGCCTACTTACAAGTACTTCAATAAAGTGAAGCCTCCAATCTCAGCTGGAATCTCACCGCTGAGATCATTATCAGAAAGGTTTCTGGTCACAAGGGGTGGATGAAAAGTACAGGAGAAATCTCAGTTAGCCTAGCCTCCTGCACACAGCAACGCAGCGCCGTGCATCCATCTACATGAAGCAACGCAACAACACATGATTGAACCATGTATGGCGGGTTGGTCCAACGGGACTGGGAAACAACTACTGAGAGAAGATGCATGGTGTTGGCAAACCACTGAACTGGTCACAGGTCGTCCCAGAATGCTTAGGAACGGCAACTGGGTGTGGAGGGGCCACAAAGCGCTAATGGAAGTGAGTTGATAGATCTAGATCTGTTTGTAGTCATTAGCTGATCACGCTCTCAGAATTCTTTGAAACAGACTGTGGAGGGCCAAACAACAACGTACAGATAGTTGAGGCGATCAAGCAATTCAAAGTCACTGAATATGATGCCACTGAGGGAATTGGATGAGAGATCCCTGTGCATTGTGTGTTGTGGGAATTGGATGAGAAAAAGAAGAGACGAGTATAGCAGGCATGGCGGCCCACGGGGGTTCGATGGGTCGAGATCCCATCAGGTGGAGAGCACTGTTGGGAGCACGGAGGAGAACAAGCAGCCTTCGCTGGAAGCAGGGAGGGTGGGGGGTGGAGGGGAATGTAAGTAGTTGGGGAAACGTAGTTTAGGTTGTGGCACGAGGGAACGCAAGGAACTGGGATGGTCTTTGAAAGAAGAATGGAAAAGGGCACATGGATGGGCGCACAGCACACGAGCTATGCGAGTGGGAAATGAAGAGCAAAATGATGTGGGATAAGACAGAATTCCACTTCACAAACTCCTGCAAGTCTGCGAGCTTTCAAATGCAG